ATTTTGCCACTACGCAAAGTGGGCTTAAAACTCACATTTGATGAATTGTTCTAATTCAAGCAATGAAGCCTTCATCCACAGGCATTCATGTTGTTTAGCATTTAAGCAAATAGCCTTATGGCAAGCATGCTATCATGGCAACACTCACACTCATGCAAGCATGCTAAAGCGTAAAACTTACAATGTATTCCAAGCCAAAACAAAAGCTAGTTAAAAATATGCATAATTCTAACTATATAAGATGCCTAATGAAACACATACAATTTGCGATTAATAGGCTTGGCTTTCTAAGATGGCATATGAATGTAACAATTTGATACATGTATTCAAAGAAGTATTGAAATACGATGCAGTTTGAATGATGAGCCGAACCCGGTGCATGCAATACAAATGAATGATGCAGACATGCGAGCATAAGGTATGCTAATTGAAACGTGCCCTAATCTAACCATAAAAAATGGGTAAATAAAAGGGAGAAAGACGTGGGGTTGGAAGACATGCACACACACGGGCACACTTATTACAACACTACGCCCTCTCGAATAAGGGTCTGAATGAATAAGCTAAGCTACACTAAGCTAAGCTAATTATTACAAACCAACTAATTAACTATTCTACCTAATTAATTATTACAACACAATTGCATAACTATCTATGCTAAGCTAATTAAAATATTACAAGATAGATTAAACTAATTAATTACAACACATGTAACAATTAGCTATAACTAGCTATTAAAGCAATAAAATGGCCTCGCAAGCTAGGGAGATATGCATGCTCGGTTGGCTTCGTCCCGAAAATCCACCATCTTGCCTCTAGATGCCTCTGTTTGCACATCTTTGGACCTCTAAAAATTATACCAACCTCCAGATTGCCTCTGTTACATCTCAAGACCACACTGATGGCTGATCGGCTATGATTGGTTGCCATCGACCACTACTGGTGGCCGGTCGGTTGGCTTTGGTGGCCGGTCGGCTAGTACATGTGGCCGGTCGGCCACTGATCTCCTGAACTTCCTCCTTTTGCTGCAACAGAGAGCAAACAGAGGCATGCCAGTATTTGTAAGAAAATGTGTGTACTGCCACCCTCTTTATCATTCCTTAAGCTCAAAGGAGTTTGGCACTTGGCTCTCAAGACACCAATCAAGCATTTTCAATGCATGATGGCCAGAGAACCAAGCTTATACAAGCTTAGTGAATGCGCAAGTAAGACTCAAAGGGCCACCACCCTATCATGCTTGATCAAGGGTGTCGGCGACCAAGAAACGTGACACATTTCATCACTATGAGTATGAAACGTCCCACATTTCTTGTGTTTGGATTAACGTCCGATCCAAACACATGCAATGCAACACAAATGCTTATCTTGTTCATGCTTTACTTTGCTCAATTCTTGTTTACACATTTATATTACCGATTAATCCTTTAACCGATTAAGTCCAATGTGAAAGTCCTCTAATGAGAGAGAGGTTAGCCAAATGATGATTTAAAACATGAGAGAGACCATGCCTTTGACTAGGAGAAACCTTCAAAAGAGAGTTAAAGCCATTGAGCACAAGCTTTATCTCAAGCTTAAACACAACCATAAGGTTAACCAACCCTCAAAGCAAATGGGAAAATGAAGAAATGAGGGAGGATGCAGAATTTCAGTGCTAAAATGGCATGCTAAAGACACTAAACCATGCAAGCAACACATACACGACATATTTAAAGCCAAAAGCATTAAGCCAGTAAAGAGCATTACACAAGAGGCATGCGATATCAAGCTCAAATGACCAAACCAACTCTGGACAGAGCTTAAACATGCCAAAACAATAGCCAAAACATGCTGAAATTAAGGCATAGAAAGCAAGAAAAACATGCTCACATGTTGGGTCACAAACAAGGCTCAATGCACAACTCTCAAAAGCAATGAAAGTGTGAAATATGTGAGAGTGTGACAGAGATATATGCACTAAAATCACATGTAAAATGATGTTATATCATGCAAACATCTCATGCAAGATATGTTAGAGGCCTCAAAACACAAAGCTAGTGAAGGCATTTACACTACAACCATGCAAGGCTAAGTTCATAAGACCAAGACCACTCAAAACAGAGCTAAAGCATGACAAAACATGAGCAAAAACATGTTGAGATAGAGCTAACACAAACTAGAATGATAGGCTAACTCATTAGGCATGCTAAGCTAGTAAGCATGATTACACTACAAGTGTAAGAAGCAAGCAACAAGTGGCTTAACCAGCCAAAAACAGAGCTAAAGAAGGTCAAAAAAGTCACAAAAACATGCTGAGATCATGCCATGAGATGGTAGAAAAACATGCTCACATGTTGGGCCATCAACACTTGCAAAGAAGACACAAGAAGGGAAGGCCACCCCCTCCTATTTTGGACCTCAAAACCAACGTTTTGCCACTGAAATCCCCCTGGAATTCAGTGGATAAAAGGCCAAAAAGAGGTTGTTTGAAAAGCTTTAAAAGATGGCATAACTCTTAGCAAACAAGCAACAAAAAAGGGTGGACCACCCCTAACTCCAAAAGGGCCTTAAACTACCATTTTTAGACCTTAAAAACAGAGGTTTTTGTAGTTGAAAACTTGGCCAAAAACAGCGTGCAAAGGTGGCCATACAAATAATTAAAGCAAAGCTTAAAAGGGGATAAGGCTTTACCTTTGAAGCACAGCAACAAACAGCAAAGATTCTGAGCCAAAACCAAGCTTAAGACCTCAAACCAAGCTTCAAGGGACCTCAGCTCCAAGGTGAAGGTGTTTGGCTAAAGGTCTTAGTGCAAATGTGTAGAGAAAACTCACTTTTAAGCACAATATATATATATATATATAGAGAGAGAGAGAGAGAGAGAAAGAGAGTGAAATTTTTGCTCTGAAAATTTATAACCCTCAAATGGGGGAGAGATCCCCCCATTATATAGAAAAACAAGCCAAAGGCTTGCCTTCATCCTCCCATACACATGTATGGAGATGAGCCTCAGTGCTTACCAGCTGGCATAAAATATCTAAAAAATATCTGAAAAAGGAGAAAAATGGCCGCCGGCCATCATTGGTGGCTGACCAGCCACAAATGTAGCCAACCGGCCATCAGCATAGTCGACCAGCCACCACTGATGGCCGGCAGGCACAAGCCATGGCTGATGGACACTAGAGATGGCCGACAAGCCACCCTCTCCTCCAGATGCAAAGCACAAAACTCTTGGTCCACAACCAAGCACAAAACAGACAAGTTAAAAGGCTCCAAGGCAAGGCACTTAGCCGAGACCTTCAGGGACTCAAAAAAAACATGAACATGCGAAATCATCGGGTGTTCAAATGATGACGTCCAAGTCTTGAGGACGGTCAAAAATGCGGTGTCTACAGTATGCCCTATAGGGAACGACTTTTGTAAAGAATCTTCCTTGTTGGGGATGGCGTTAATTTAAAGGACCTCTTTGGTACTACCAATTTATACCTTGGTTGGTGTTAATTTAAAGACTACTACTTGCTTGTTTCCAGCATAATCAGTATCCGCTTGTTGATCTCTCTCATTGTCTCCTTTCTTATTGGGCCCAGTAGGCTCATTTTTGGGCCTAATTTCGATAATACGAACCATTCACATTTTAAGATTTGTTGAGTATATCATACCTGTAAAACATCAAGTTGATCAGATATCAAAAAGCATGTGTTCAGAAAAATGTTTATTAAATATTTTTAAAAAATGATTTTTAGTTCGATGATCCGAACACATAGTTTATGATATCCGATCAACCTGATTTTTTACAGGTATGATATAGCTAACAAATCTTAAAATGTAAACGGTTCGGATCATTGAAATTAAGCTTGAAAGTGGGTCCAATGGCCCAGTAAATAGAGAGACAAAGAGAGAGATCAAGAAGCGGATCCTGATTCGTTTCGAGCCACCTGTGCTTAGGTTTACTATTGGAATCATATAAATATAAATTATTCATAAAAATAAATAAAATAAACAAATACTGGTATAATAAGTTGTAGGACGTCAGATTCCCTATTGTCCATAATATAGATTGGGTATGTAAAATTTATCATGAGTCTTGTTTTAGTGATTAAAACTTTTTATTTTGTTAGATATTTAATATATTTTATTCATAAAAAAATTGATCAATCTAATAATTGCAATAAATTTAATTTATCATATTTTTTTTTAAAAAAATATAATTATCACCATTTTTTAAATAATTAACTTAATAATTAAATAAATTATAATTATCAAATCGATTTAATTTTTAAAAAGGCTTTCGGTTTATAAATTCAATTTTAGATTTCTTCTATCTAAAAGTCCATGTGTCAAATTACTTTCCCAATAAGGACATACTTTTGCCAAAGACCAAACTACCTATATATATACATATACTCTACCGTTCAAACCCTAATGCAACAAACAAATATCAGTCTCTCTCTCTCTCTCTCTCTCTCTCTCTCTCTCTCTTCTTCTACTTCCTCTATGCATCCATATATATAGGGACGGATGCAGGATTCTAATGTCGGGGGGAGGGGGGGTGAGTGTAATGAACTTGTGATATACAATATCAATTTCTACCCAAATATCACAAAAATGTATAATTAGATGTTTACATTCATCATATATAATTACAAAATATTATCAAAATACAATTAGATATGTTCTAGTAAATCCATATTAATTTTCAAAAAAGCAACTATTTGCTCTACATATCTACTTAGGCATCTAAAGTTGTGCTCGACGTTCTTTCAAAATATAAAAAGCATCTATGATGGAATCTACTTCAAAATCTCGAGCAATGTCTTTCTCAACATATGTTAACAAGTAGCTTTAAAGAAAATCATCCTTCATCCTATTGCGCAATCTAATCTTTACAATTTTCATGGCCGAAATTGCACGTTATGTTGTTGCCATAAAAACTGGTAAAGTTAGAACAAGACGAATTAATCTATCGACAAGAGGATAAATTGTTGGCTTCCTTGTTTTTACCAACATTTGGCACAAGTCAGAAATTGTCAATAGTTGCTAAAACTCAGGATGTTTAAGGATGTCAATCTCGCAATTTTGCATGGAATTTCTTGCTCTGTAAAGTCATTAGGATAAAATTTATTTGCAAGCTTGCATATGTCTTCAATTTTTAATAAACAGTAGTCATCCCTAGGATCTAAAGCAAAGCTAAGAATAAGAAACTCCATCACATCTTCTTTAAATCTGTTGTTCAATTCTTGCAATTGAGAATCACATATAATTGTAAAAATATCAACCCGAAAATGATGCTCAATAGTAATGTGATCTCTTTGGTGACAAGCACGACCTTTATCAGATGTGTAACGAGCACTCATATCAGGAATATCTATGTCATATTTTTCACAAAATAGTTGAACATTCTCCAACAAAGGAATCCATCCATCTTCTCTATATTTTTGAACAAGTTCTTTTGTAGTTGACAGTAGATGCATTGCATTCAATATATCTTGGGATTTACGTTGCGAAGCTTGGCAAATATCATCATTAATATCTCTCATAAGATGTAAGATAAACACAAACTCAAAAGATGTAATCTTATCATAAACTCCATCTGCATCTGCACGTTGAGTAGAGGTGGCTCCATCATTGATGGCATTACTTAAGACTGAACAAGTTGTACCAAACATATTTATCAAACTGGAAATAGATCCCAAGTGAGAACCCCGTCGAGTATCTCCAGCCCTTTTTAATGTCCCAACTTGATTTTTGCCTTTACCAGTTTCAACTTTATCAATGGCAAGTTTTGCTGCAATTTCTTTAGCTTGAGCAACTTTCAACTGATCATGCTTTTACAAGAAGAGCCACATAGATTAAATGTGAGAGCCAAATAAGAAAAAAATTGGGCAATGGGTATAACCTCTCTTGTTGTCGCTACCAATGCTAATTGGAGTCGATGAGCAAAGCAATGAACATAGTACGCAAAATGACAATCATGAAGAAATAAGGCATGTAACCCAGTCCACTCTCCACACATATTACTAGCACTATCATATCCTTGACTACGAATACTTTGTACACTGAGATTATGACGAGATAGGAAAATACATATTTCTTCTTTCAAAGTTGCTGATGTTGTATCCGATACATGAACTATGTCAAAAAAATGCTCCTTTATAAAACCATCTTTATCAACAAATCTTAGCCTTAAATTTTTATGCACGCAACCCTAGGTGGGTCACTTGAGCGGTGGTGGGCCGTACGTGCGGTGAGGTGGTAGGCTGGGACTTTTTACTATTCGCACGGAAAATCTGGTTTTGCGTCACTTTTTGTTTGAATTTGCGTATTTGCCTGCCAAATCTGTACAAGTTCACAAAACACATCATCTCCATCAAATAAACAAAATTCAAAAATTATATATGTAACTTAAGCAGCCTCAATGTAGTACCTTTCAACCTACATCACATCTCCCAACTTACATTTTGCTAGTCCTCGAGCAAAACAATAGAAATAAGAAAAAGAAAATACTATAAGACACTTTCGTAGGGATCACGATTGCATTTAGCATATGCAACAAGCTTTTAAACCACAAAGTTATCCCAAGTTGATGAGTGTAGTCTCGTGAGGGTTTCAAGAAATGATACCCACAAACATCAACATATTCACATTTGCCCAACAACAATTAATCACACTACGCCACCTAGGAATCAACTTATGTGCCAACTATAGTGTGATATCAAGACGTTATGAGTCATTGAAGGCACAGTGAACAAGTATGAGAGAATCTATTAAGCAAAAATCGTAATTCCATATTACAAAAGTTAAGTCCCTGTATTTGTGAATGCTAGTAAAGCACGTCATTTGTGCCCTTGGTGTAAAGTGTAATTCCTATAACTAGTTAATTTTCCATTATAATAGCCTAGTGTAACTGACAATAATACCCAACACACACAGAAAAAACCTAAACTTTTTGCAACCAAGATTCTTTTTTTTTTAATTTTTTATTTTAATGATTGTGCAATGCCTTGACCCATTAAGCTTTTTAATCAACCCATGTAACGAATGTTGGGCCAATGACTCCCAAACCAGACGGTTTTAGGGCACTAGGTGTGAAGACACCCCTACGAGCTTAATTACTCGAGCTGAAAAGGCTATGAATCCGAACAAGTCATTTTCTTTATTTTTCCTTAACTGTGCAATGTCTAGGTACCTTAAGCTTTCTAATTAACCTATGCAACAAGTATTGAACCAATGACTCCCAAATTAGATGGTTTTAAGGCACTAGGTGTAAAGACAACCCTGCAGGCTTAATAACTCGAATTAAAAAGACTACGAACCCAAACAAGTCAAGTTGCTTATGACACCTGAGTTTTTTTCACTCCGCTTGAGTGAAGTTTTTCTCGCTCGAGCGTAGATCTTTAGCTCCCAGTAATTGGCAATTTTGCAGGCGGGCCACTCGAGCGAAGAATTTGTTGCTCGAGCGTAGATTGCAAGCTCCCGGTAGTTTCATTTTAGCTTTGCAAAACTTCTGGGACATGTTCTTTTTCGCTCGAGTGAGATCACTTAGTTGTGCCTTACGCTCGAGCGACAAAACTTGCACTTAAGTGACCTGCTGAGGACAACAGATTTTAAAAAGCGATTCCAAGTCACTTTCTTTACACTTTTCCATCCTCTCTCTAACTCTAATTTTTCTCAAACCCTAGCTCACAAAACCATGGATTTCTCCAATCTTGACTCAAGATCCCCCAATATTAGTTGAAAGAAGAGCTAGATTGACATTTTCACCAATTGTTTCGCAGATCATCGTAGTACGAGCGTGTATTGCAACCCTAGCATACCAACTCGGGGTAGAGGTGTCTTTAACTCCTTATATCTTCCATTTGAGTAGCTTATGTGGTGATTTCATTAGCTATATATATATGTATATACATATGTATTGGTTTGAGTTGTTGATTAAAGATTGAGAATAATGAGGGTGAAATTTTGTGATTGTTGAAGGAGTTACAATTATTATAATAGAATATCATTGTTTATGATTGATGAGTGCCTCAATTTCATGAAGGAGAGAAAAACCCCAATTATTCTCATTTTTCTCAAACCCTAATTTTCAAACTTAATTTATAAAAGGGGATTTTACTCAATTAATTTCTGAAATATGAAATTGAGTGTAATTACTTGGTTTTGGGTTTGAAATGCAAGTTTGGAGGTTCCCTTTTGATGTTGAACTTGAGATGAGATGATGAATGATGATCGGAATGCCTTGATTTATGAAATGAGGGGAGTTGCACCATTGTGAATTGATATCATTGTAGGAAAAATGCATTGTTTACAAACTCATGCATCATATGCATTGTTCATTTCTTTTGGTTCTACTTTTGTGAAAATGGTTAAACGCAAAAAGAGGGTAAACAGTCTATGAGTCCGGATAGTGAGTCGGGGTTGGTTTTGAGTTATGTATTGTAATTGGTACCCGCGCGAGGAGTCAAGGTACCCAATTGCCCTGTTTGCGCATATCACCAGACGAATGTGGGAAAATGTTTTGGGGTGTCCACGAGCCCGCCGTTTCTGGAGTCGGCAAATGTGGGATTATTTTTGATAAATAACTATAATGGTCTATGTATGTTTTGATGTTAGACTCTTACCTGTGGATGTCATGGATGAGTACTGCCCAATGAGAAAAGGGGAAAGATGAAATATGTTCAAAGCATTGCATCCTATCAATAGCATACTCAGGCATGGTTTTACTTTGTTTTTATACATTCTCATGAATTGCATTGCATGAGCGTAAGTCTTTCAAATGATTATATAATTTGTTAAATGCATCACCTACTGAGCTTATGCTCACCCCACAAACCAACCAATTTTTAGGAATTGAGGACGAGATACCTCTCAAGTGATGATGCCAATTGAGCTAGTATGTTTTGTTGAAGTTTCTTGGGGGGTGATGATGATAATTGTATTTTAGAAGTTGATTTTTGTGTCATAGTGTTGTGAAGAACATTGTGTTAAGGATGATGCCCTGGCGGACTAAATTGTTGACTACTTAATTTTTTTCTTTTGAACTATTTTAATGTTTTGAGGAATGTAATGGAACAACTATGTAACTTTCGTTTTGGGAATAGTTCAAAGGGAAAGAAAGCCATGAGTGAGTGGCTGTATTATTTTATTTTGTTCGGATCTTATATCTTGATCATGCTTAATGCTTGGAAGAACAAGTTTACAGACCGGGTCATTTAGGGTGTTACAATTTGGTATCAGAGCAAACCAGGTTGAATACCTGGAGCTCGTGGGAAGCGGCTTTGCCACATAGGGCTATTACGTTAGAGAGGAAATGGTAGATTGTTTTGTGTGTCTTAAATTGATTTATTTGATTGTGTGGGTATGGAGTTAAACACTTAGGACATGACTTGTATCTATTGCAATCATTGAAATCCTTTTGGAAAGGCCCTGATCAATGCTTTTTCCACTAGGAAATCTTTGAGTGCCATGGGACTAGTCAGCGTCCTAAAGGAGTAACTCATGTGTGTTTCATGTGTTTATGTAAGTATGTGGTGTGCCTTATGTGATATAAGCTATTGCATATAGGTGCATTTTAACTTGCGTGTGTAATATGAAAGTTGGCATATATTTTGGTGAGTTATGAGTTAAATTCTTTTTCTTATTTTCATATAGGATGTCAGGACGAGGAAGAGGAGGTCGAGGTAGATTCATAGAGATCGCTAGGATAAGCCGGCACAGCAATATCTCCCTCCCCAAGAAGAATGGGCAGAGCAGAATGACGCGGCCGTTCTACCGGCCCAAGATGCAATAAGGGCATTAGCCCGAGAGATGGTAGCCGCCCTCCACAAATCCATGGAAATCCTCCGAGTCGAGCAAGTGGCGAAGAAAATTGAAGGGGAAACCCAAGTCTCTTTCTTAAAGAAGGAATTCTTCTGCTCCAACCCTGCGGAGTATAGTGGCGAGCCTAATCCTATGAAGGCAGATGATGGTTAGAGCAGATTGTTAAATCATTTAAGATTTTAGACATCAATGATGGAGAGCTTAGGGTGGCCTTGGCGGCGTGTCAATTGAAATGAGAGGCCAGTCAATGGTGAAAGCTACGGCACATGTGGAGATTATGATGGAGGTTGAGGAAGTGAGGTAAAAGCACAAGAGACTGAACTATGTTGAATCAAAAGGCGATTCAGGATCTTCTAAGAAATCTAAGAGTTCCTTTTCTTCATCTTCTCAGTCCATGCCCCAACCAACCAAGTCATTGAGATCCGTTTCTATGAGAAGTTTGGGAAGTACGGGCCTCAACCGTGTCACTTGTTTTAGAAGTGGCCAGCAGGGCCACAACGCTTCAAACTGTAACTGGAATCTTAGCTGCCAATAACAAGCTCGTTCTCAAAGTCCAGTCCAAGGAAGGGGCCAATCGCCTGCATGCTACTATTGCGGGCAATCGGGTCACATTAAAAGATCTTGCCCATAACTGATTGGAAAGGGGAACACTTTTGGGTCCTGAAAATCTGGGGGTTATCAGTCAGGCCAAGGTCAGAGATAGGGTTACCAGCCAGTTCAGTCAGGACAGACATCGCGGGCAGTACAAGGGGCCACATATGTACAGTCAACGCCACCAACCAATACTACGAGAGGTGAATGGAACAATCAGAGGGTCCAAGGACGAGTATATGTCGTTATTACTTCTGAGCAGTCATCGAGACTATCGGTGATGAGAGGTACTTATCTAGTCTATAACACATGGGCTAATGTGTTGTTAGATACCGGGGCATCGCATTCATTCATGGCATCAACATTTGCATTTGCATTGGGCCTAAAAGTAGAATGATTAGAATCACCACTCATGGTTGAGTTACCGCTTAGGGGTCAAGTTGTATTGGATAGGGGATGTCGTGTGTCACGACCCAAACCCGCCCCTATGGGTTTAGCACCGTAACCGGCCAGTAATCCGTGATTTCTGAAGGCCTGCTTAACAGTAAAGACAGTAATACAGAGTACAGGGGCTGTCGGAAGCCAAAACAGTAATTAAAAGATGTCCAATGAGCTGTGACAGACTGTATGCAAAAAAAAGACTATTCATACATATACACATTCAAAACCAAAACAGTATGTACATACATATACAATCATCCAGGACAAGGACCTAATCCTTATTAGAACAGTACAGTACAGGTACAGTCAGTCTATACAAAAATAGAGACAGAAAGGATGAATCTAAAACACCCCCAAAAGCCCTAGCTTGAAGGACTTGGAACCTCTCAGTGAGGCACATTGGTTGGCTTGACAAAAAGGGAGTTAAACCCAACGCTCCTAGCTCCGATCCGGTGCCTGGACACCTACATATATATATATAAACAGTGGGCTAAAACCCAGTGAATAACAGTTGTGTAAAGAGGTTAAGAATGAATGTCTTTTCAGTCATTAAACAGTAATATCAGTCATTTAGAAACCATAGCAGTTATAAGTGGTATATCCAATAGCAAAATAGTACAGTAGGTCTTAACAGACCGAACAGTTAGTTGATGGCCATCGTAACAGTAAACAGTAGTGGTTCCAAACATGGGAATCGACAGAGATCTCTGTGACAGTAACAGTACAGTACAGTAACAGTAAATTGCTATGGATGCCACGAATACAGTTCGCAAATAGGACAAGCATTCATTCAGTAAGAAATATCATTTCAGAAAGCAGTACAGTTGATCATTCAGAAAATATTCATGATTGAATATATCTTTACAACATTGTTACTCACAGAGTTCTGGGCTATAGATAGGCTAGTGAGTGTCCTCGGATGCAGACCCTACACAGTTACAGGATGAACACACACTAAGTTGCATGTTTGGGAAACAATGACTTAGTCCCTATCTTGACTTGGTGTGGTTCTATAGCATTATCCTCATTAAGATGCCTTAAACATGGCCTAGGAATGCCTATGATGGAATGAGGATGCAAAGATGCACTTTAAAACACTTTTCGAATTTTTCAGAAAACAGGGGTCTCGCTCGAGCGTGGCTTTCTACGTTCGAGCGGACATGCAGACAAAGGATCTTCGCTCGAGCGTGACTTTCCTCGCTCGAGCGGACTGCAAAAGTACTGGATGCATGAAATTCACGCTTGACGGGCGCTCGACCTCCGCTCGAGCGTGAGACATAAGTCCTCGCTCGAGCGTGCATTCCCTTGCTCGAGCGGACTGCAAACACATGCAAAGTATTGGATACACGCATTTCACGCTCGAGCGTCACTTTACTCGCTCGAGCGAACTGCATGAACTCAGAGTGTACGCTCGAGCGTGAAGTTCCTCACTCGAGCGTGGATCCAAAATCTGGAATTTCCAGATTTGTCTCCAAGCATGAAACTCAACATTTAAAGCATCAAATTCGATCCTTTTGGGTCCATTTTCTGGAAAACACTTTAAAACTCATAATATGACATGTTTTAAAGATCAATTTGCAAAATCAAAGCCCAAAGGTAGTTCAATTGAACCCATTTCCAAACAAAACTTCAAGAACATGATGTACATGCAACATGCAAGTGTTCAATTGAAATCAAAGCTTCAAATACTTGATCAAATGAGTCAATCCTTCCAAAACATGATGAATTCATGAACTATAACCCAAATATGGACATGCATGTGAGGATTCTATGAAAACAACCTCAAAACTTAACAATGTGTACATGCATGCATGATTTAAGCTTCAGTTCCACATGTTGAACCAATTCTAGACTCTAATCACCAAACTTCCATGAAACATGCAAGATACAACTTAAATACAAGTTCTAGAAGATGATTCTCCTACCTTAGGTCCTCAATTTCAAGAATGGAAGCTCAATTTGCAATCTGCTCTTCAATTCTTCTAATTTTCCTAGCCAAAACTTGTTGAAAACAATTCTCCTACTCTCCCCCTCTCACTCACTCGGTTTTGGACTTGAGGAAAATAGCTGAAGAGTTGTGATAATGCTAACATATATAAATCAAATAAATGGCTCATGAAATAGTCCACTAAGTGGCTGTAGACACCCCATTTTTGACCGACCTTAAAACTCAGACGTCACCAACTGAGCGCTCGGTGATGTTGCATATTGTGCTCGTTCTGAGGTTGCAAAGTCTCGGCTGAGAGCCTTGCCTCCGGGCTTCGAAACCTTTTTGTGCCTTGCCTCACTTTGCAAACCAAGTCTTGTTTTCTCTGTTTTCTCTTCCTAGAGGGAGGGAGGGGTCTCTTAGACCATCTCTTACTGGCCCTAGGCTACGTTTTGTGGTCGTAGGCCATTTTTCCCGTTTGGAGACCAGTTTCTAGTTTTCGGAGCCGTCGACCGTGTGCCTCGGTTCGGAACCGCTTAACTACCTCCGTTTGCTCCAATTTTTGGCAGACACCTTGTTTCCTCTCCTTAGAAGGACATTTTGGCCCAGAAGACCACCTTCGTGGTCGCACGCCACTTTCGATGCTTAATAGTCAGTTTTCGGGGCCCCCGACTGCGCGTTTTGGCCCCCGAACCTTCGTTTTGCATCGGTGCGGGTTCATTTTTGGCATGGACCCTAGTTTCATTGTTAGGAAGGTGGTAGTAGGGTGGGAGACCACCTTTTCTTCTTGGAGACCACCTTTCCCCGGTTGGCCTATTTTCTTGACAGGTAGCTGGTCTCCCTCACTTTTGAGCCACATTTTCTGGTCTCCCATACTACCACTGAGTTGTATTCACCTGGGAGACCACCAATATGGGCTGGCCGACCTCCTTTTGAGCTTGACCCTTTTGAACTTGGTCGGCCGACCAGGGGGCATGGTCGGCCGACCACCTGAACTGGTCGGCCAACCATCTGCTTTTTCCTCTCTCCGAGTGTGTTCCAACTGTGCCAGCTGGGAGGCATTTGGTGTATCCTCCATACACGTGTATGGAGGATGTTTAGCTTAGCTTTTAAGCTTCTTTGAGAAGCTTTAGACCTTCTCCTCTATAAAGGAAGTGTAACAACCCTCATTTCAACTTAGTCATACTTGCATACATTTATGTATGATCTTGTTTTGATATGTGCATTTGCAAATCTTGTCTTGTTTTGCTTGAGTGTTGCTTGCATGCTGTGTTCTTGCCTGGTGTGTTGCCGAGGTCATCTAAAGCCTAGACACCTTGGAACCTTTCCACGTTTAGAACTATCTTGGAACCACTTCGGTTGACCTCCATCTTCACCCTGGCATATTTGTCGAGATGTCCCTATCTAGGCTGAGGTGTTCTAGGCCGAGATGTTTATCCTTGCACCCTAGTGATTTTGTTCCTGGAATAGTATGACCTAGACCGAGTGTAGACACCCCATTTTTGACCGTCCTCAAGACTTGGACGTCACCGTTTGAACACTCGGTGATTATCCATGTTGGTGTTCGTTTGGAGTTCTCGGAGGTCTCGGCTGCGCGCCTTGCCTCAGGACCTCCGAACTTGACTGTTTAGTGTCTGGTTTCACACCAAACACTCGTGTTTTGCCTAGGAAGGGGAGGGAATGCCTTGTGAGACATCCCCACACACCACCGGCAGTATCTAGATGCCACCGGCTAGTTTTTTGCTTCTATCGGCAATCTTTTATGCCGGTCGGCACATTTTGTTGCCGGTCGGCACTAAATTTTGTCAAAATGACATTTTTGGGCAGCCGACCACTGTTCATCTACTTTATGTAGATATTTTGTGCCAGCTGTGATAGCTGGCACCAACTCTGCTTCCCTCCATACACGTGTATGGAGGGAAGCAGAGTTGGTGCCAGCTATCACAGCTGGCACAAAATATCTACATAAAGTAGATGAACAGTGGTCGGCTGCCCAAAAATGCCATTTTGACAAAAAACAGTGCCGACCGGCAACAAAAAGTGCCGACCGGCAACAAAACCAGCCGGTGACCCTCTAGCCACTGCCGGTGATGTGTGGGGATGCCTCACAAGGCATTCCCTGCCCCTCCAAGGCAAAACACAAGTGTTTGGTGCAA